CACCTACCCATATACACACACCTACCCATATACACACACCTACCCATATACACACACCTACCCATATACACACACCTACCCATATACACACACCTACCCATATACACACACCTACCCATATACACACACCTACCCATATACACACACCTACCCATATACACACACCTACCCATATACACACACCTACCCATATACACACACCTACCCATATACACACACCTACCCATATACACACACCTACCCATATACACACACCTACCCATATACACACACCTACCCATATACACACACCTACCCATATACACACACCTACCCATATACACACACCTACCCATATACACACACCTACCCATATACACACACCTACCCATATACACACACCTACCCATATACACACACCTACCCATATACACACACCTACCCATATACACACACCTACCCATATACACACACCTACCCATATACACACACCTACCCATATACACACACCTACCCATATACACACACCTACCCATATACACACACCTACCCATATACACACACCTACCCATATACACACACCTACCCATATACACACACCTACCCATATACACACACCTACCCATATACACACACCTACCCATATACACACACCTACCCATATACACACACCTACCCATATACACACACCTACCCATATACACACACCTACCCATATACACACACCTACCCATATACACACACCTACCCATATACACACACCTACCCATATACACACACCTACCCATATACACACACCTACCCATATACACACACCTACCCATATACACACACCTACCCATATACACACACCTACCCATATACACACACCTACCCATATACACACACCTACCCATATACACACACCTACCCATATACACACACCTACCCATATACACACACCTACCCATATACACACACCTACCCATATACACACACCTACCCATATACACACACCTACCCATATACACACACCTACCCATATACACACACCTACCCATATACACACACCTACCCATATACACACACCTACCCATATACACACACCTACCCATATACACACACCTACCCATATACACACACCTACCCATATACACACACCTACCCATATACACACACCTACCCATATACACACACCTACCCATATACACACACCTACCCATATACACACACCTACCCATATACACACACCTACCCATATACACACACCTACCCATATACACACACCTACCCATATACACACACCTACCCATATACACACACCTACCCATATACACACACCTACCCATATACACACACCTACCCATATACACACACCTACCCATATACACACACCTACCCATATACACACACCTACCCATATACACACACCTACCCATATACACACACCTACCCATATACACACACCTACCCATATACACACACCTACCCATATACACACACCTACCCATATACACACACCTACCCATATACACACACCTACCCATATACACACACCTACCCATATACACACACCTACCCATATACACACACCTACCCATATACACACACCTACCCATATACACACACCTACCCATATACACACACCTACCCATATACACACACCTACCCATATACACACACCTACCCATATACACACACCTACCCATATACACACACCTACCCATATACACACACCTACCCATATACACACACCTACCCATATACACACACCTACCCATATACACACACCTACCCATATACACACACCTACCCATATACACACACCTACCCATATACACACACCTACCCATATACACACACCTACCCATATACACACACCTACCCATATACACACACCTACCCATATACACACACCTACCCATATACACACACCTACCCATATACACACACCTACCCATATACACACACCTACCCATATACACACACCTACCCATATACACACACCTACCCATATACACACACCTACCCATATACACACACCTACCCATATACACACACCTACCCATATACACACACCTACCCATATACACACACCTACCCATATACACACACCTACCCATATACACACACCTACCCATATACACACACCTACCCATATACACACACCTACCCATATACACACACCTACCCATATACACACACCTACCCATATACACACACCTACCCATATACACACACCTACCCATATACACACACCTACCCATATACACACACCTACCCATATACACACACCTACCCATATACACACACCTACAAACATACACACCTGCCCACATACACACACCTACCCATATACACACACCTAGCCGGGGGGCATCGCCAGCAGCGGCTTCACCCTGGCAGGACCCGGGGTCGAGGCCCAGGACCAGGGCGTCATCACATACCATGCCACAGGGATGGACAGGGCGAGTAGGGTGGAGACTGTGAGCATCGACAGCTCCCTCACCAAGCTCTTCAAGACGATGTCCATTGCTTACAG